CCGGGAGACTCCCGGTGAAACTGGGAGAGTTGGCAACCCTACTGCCAGGTCACCTTTTTGACTGGACTTTCCAGTTGAAAATTGGGCACCTGGCAAATGGCACCCAGACACAGATGCCAAAAAACGGACTGTCTTGGTAAAACCCAGATGGGTGGCAACCCTACTAGCCAGCCACATGGGGGCAGGGGAAAGAGGCTGCACCCTATAGTGGGCCCCCCATGGGGCACTGCAAATCCCCTCTGCCCTGGTATGGCCCATGTTATTTCCCATCACAGAAGCCACGTTCAAAGGTCATGCCTGGGATTTACTTTAAATTCTCTCTTCCCAGATCCTCCCCTTTGGCCCCTTTTGTTGTAGAGCACAATGGACTGAGCCTCTGCTTCAGCCTCTTCCTTAAGCCAGGCCTGTCGGATCTCCCTGCCTGTGTTCTACTAGCATGGCTCCTTTACGAGTTCTGGGAGACAGGAGGGGAGTGGAGAAGGGCACACACTTTATAAGTCTATATAACCCTGCATCTGTAGTCCCCAAGTGTGTGTGACACAGGCATGCCCAGACACGCACAGGGAATCCTATTATACCTATGTTTGACCAGCTTCACCAAAGGGGTGGGGATGTTCTCTGCTGAAAGCTAAGTGTAGGCCCGGGACTTAACTCACCCCCATACTAAACTAGCCTCGACTAGCCTTGGGTGGGACTCAGGGATTTCACCACTGAAATTAAATAAAATTGCTCCACACCACAGGAATGCCCCTAACAAGAGTTATAATACCAAAGGTTGTAAAGTAGAGATATCCAGGCACTGGGAGGATACAGAAAGACCCAATAAATGGTAAAATAGATAAAATAAGCTCTGACCAGCGAATTTATGATGGTCATCTGCAACTAACAAAGAAAGTCATAAATAAGTTACAATTTGAGCATGAGAGAGAAAATATAAAAAAGACTTGAGCAGGGAGGAGCAAACATAGGTGCCAGTGCATGATTGGTTAAATTTTGTTACCTAGGGGTATTGAATAATGTGATGGGTTTAATAGAGTTAATGGAAGTAGTTAGTTTTACCTATATAATGGGAGCTATCTCTGGACTTCAGTTCAATATCAAGTTGCTAGAACTCTGAACACTCTGCACAACCGTGATGTGCAGAAGCATTGGCGGGAACCCCCAGACAAGTGGATTTTGACTGGCCATCGGGTGAAGTTTGTCTGTGTATTGGGAGTAGTGAGCATAATATATTTGCTTGGCATATGTATTCTGTGCATGTTGCACAGAATACATATGCCAGAATAGATGTTTAGAGAACAGCTATGTAAAGCTCTTTCACTGGGAAAAGATCCTGCAGACCTGTAGAGCTCTGAGCCCCATGGGAAAGGGTAGGTGCCTTATCCTCAAGCCCTCAGAAAGGAAAGGGTGGGAGTGCCTAAATTGACCAGGTCAAGCCTTGAGCCCTCGGTAGAGTGTGTGGTTAGATGTCTGGCTGCGTGTGTGTGTTCTCTGTGTGCAGACAGCCGGCACAGCAGACCTCGAGCGAACCACCCAATGACCACAAGATTTGTTAAGGTTCAAAGGCACCAGGCCAGGTTTATTGTCGACAGAGCACAGTATATAGCACCTGGCAGACTCTACGAGGATACTAAGACATGTATGTCCATGACAATAGACACAGTTCAGTGAATGGCAGGACTTTCCATTCCCCCCTTGGCTGGACAAAAATACTCCCTCCGAGATACGTCTTTATACCCTGATACAAACATGTTACATACTGCCTCTGACATACTTAATTACTGCTCCCTGATGTGGTTAGTTATCACCCATCACCTTGTACATGTTGATTTGATTAAAACATCTTTATTATGTACTATCATCCTGACTTTGTCTTTTAGGAGGGGTTAGTTCCTGTTATCCTTGGGGAATGTTTTTGTATCATCCTTGATATTGGAATGTTCTGGTACCACTTGATATTGGGATGTGTTTGCATGAGTACTCTGTGCATGTACATTGGCCAAACTGGCCAAACTGGACAGTCCCTCCGCAAAAGAATAAATGGAAACAAATCGTACATCAGGAATGGTAACATACATAAGCCAGTAAGTGAACACTTCAGTCTCCCTGGTCATTCTATTACAGATTTAAAAGTCACTATCATTGAACAAAAAAACTTCAGAAACAGACTTCAAAGAGAAACAGCAGAACTAAAATTCATTTGCAAATTTAACACTTGTAGTGCCCATCTTTAAAAAAGAGAAGGAGGAGGATCCGGAGAACTACAGGTCAATCAGCCTCACCTCAGTCCCTGGAAAAATCATGGAGCAGGTCCTCAAGGAATCAATTATGAAACACTTAGAGGAGAGGAAAGTGATCAGTCACAGTCAGCATGGATTCACCAAGGGCACCAAGTCATGCCTGACTAACCTAATTGCCTTCTATGAGGAGATAACTGGCTCTGTGGATTAGGGGAAAGCAGTGGATGTGTTATTCCTTGACAGCAAGTTAAAGAAGTATGGTCTGGATGAATAGACTACAAGGTGGGTAGAAAGCTGGCTAGATCATCGGGCTCAACAGGTAGCAATCAATGGCTCCATGTCTAGTTGGCAGCTGGTATCAAGCGGAGTGCCCCAAGGGTCGATCCTGGGGCCGGTTTTGTTCAATATCTTCATTAATGATCTGGAGGATGGTGTGGACTGCACTCTCAGCAGATGACACTAAACTGGGAGGCGTGGTAGATACGCTGGAGGGTAAGGATAGGGA